CTTAGGTAGGGCTTAGGGTCTCAGATCGCTAGCGCTGCAAGTGGTATTATTGGCCTAATGGGGGTAACAGATGCCACTGTGACGACAGCATCTTTCCGTCTGCCCATCTGTCCATTCAGGCCGAGTCATGTAGTGCACACACCAGGTGTGCTCAGAAATAGAGCTCATATGGAAGGATGCGGGTGCCTGTCATTCAATAGTGCTGTGTATGCGTGTTCACCTCTGTGGCACCTAGCCAAACACCTAATGTGACAAGATACAGACAAGAGTAGATGAATGAGAGGAGCATTTGGGACTGTAGGAGGAAGCCAGTTACTCAAATGGCAACCCCCCCCCATCAGACTGCTGTTCACCTCAACAGTCATTTAATGTATGTACGTAATGTATGTAATAACAAGTTGCCCGTGAAAGCTGCCAGAATAATGACTTATAGCTTGAAATGAGGCTGTAAGCCATTTACAGTTATTGTGTTGGGTTAACTCATAAGCAAAAGCCCAAAACTGTGGCAGGGTTGGTGTTCTCTCTAACCAGCCCCTGAGAGTGTTGTAGCCATGTGCAGGTGCGTCAGAGCCCATGTCCCTTGCGCTGGCTCGTCAACAGACCAGCTCCGGGACAGATTAGACCTGCTGCCTGGAAACAGACGCATTAGACCTGCACAGCACAGCAAACAGAGGCATTAGGGCTCTACATACACACACACAATATTAGGCAAGCACAGACCCCATTAGCCCTCTGCAAACTCCTAATCACTCAGTGGGGGCTCAGCACTCTCTGTACAGCATCTGACTTTGTCGTCCAGGCAAACTTTTTCGGGCGACTTTTTTTTTTTTTTTTTTTTTTTTTTTTTTAAAGAGTCCAAACTTCTATGTAACCAAACATCCAGCCTACTAAGTGCAGCTGGCGCTGAGCTCTCCGCACTGTGAAAATCCGCCTCTGTACAGCAAAGGGTAGAGAACAAGGTTCAAGCAAACAGACAGACAGCTAATCATGTGTCATAAAACGTGTCAGTGGGAGTGTAGTGGGGCTTTTTGTCCTCCTCTTCCTGGTATCTCCTTACAGACAATATGTACATTATATAGCATAGGGTACCTATGACTGAGGCTTGAGAGCAATGTAACAAAAATTTAAAAATTACTCGCGCCCCAAAACACAGGACACACAGACAAACAAAACTGAAGTCAGTGCCAATGTACTAATAAAACCTTAACAACGATGGCAGTCATGGTGCAAATTCCATAACAGTTGTAAAAGAAGTAGCTGACAGACATGGAGCTTATCAAATCTTCCAAAAACATTCACAGGCACATGTCTCGTGATTGATAAGGAGTCGCAAAGCAAAAGACAACATGTTTACAACCCGCGTCTTGTGAAATGCCCATGGCAGTGTGACATCAGCTACATCTGTCTGTTCTCCGTCCTCTGAATGATTTACGCCAGGGGAGCCAAGAGAAAATTTTGTTAATCAGACATTTTAGGCACAAAGTATTTCTGTAAATGCCAAGAGCTGCTTGAGGATGAAACTAATGCCACAACATGACACTTAAAACACTTACTCATTTTTGTACAGTTAAAACAAGTCTGCATTAAACAAAAACAAGGCAAAAATACTTTGACAACGAAGGAAAACAAGAAAACAAAAGCTTCTGACAAAGAATGCAACTCTTTGTTGTGGTTACCTGTTGCTATTGGGCCCTCTGGTTTTCTGCTTATTATCATCATGATTGCAATTAATATGTGATGCCAGCATCCGAAGTGGAAAAAATCCCGAACAAAAAAGTGCAAAACAAAGGTTCAAACTAGAGTCACGTAGCAAACTTAGCTAACCTCATTTACAACTTTGCCGTGTTTGCTAATGAGTGGAGTCCCAGTACCTTTGAGCTGCGGTTTCGATTCAACTAACTCAAGTTATTTTCTCCTTGGGGTTACCTAGGTTTTTCTTGGCTTCGTGTGTAATTTATCCTTGTTTTATTAAAACCACCGAGTTGTGAATTCAGTGTGCTACTCTCACACTCGCCCTGGCTGACATGAGCCTTGGAAGCCGTTCGAAAAACCTGAGCAGGCGGTGGGGGTCGTTTCCCTCGGCTAGCTAGCCAGCTAGCTTGCACAGCCACAAAAACACTCGTCCGCCCGAGAGCCGCTCCCTCTGTTAAAAATAGTCTGAGTCCAAATATTACAGCTTGGTGGTCTGACCCGGGTGCCCCTCGCCTTTCTCTGTCGGTGCAGTGAGTCGATCCAGAGCACCATTCCCGTGCTTATTCCCGGTTAGCTGACTTTGTAGCTAGCAAATAGTGATGCTACCACTCGATGAACCCTCAGGATCGTGTCCTCCTTCGGGACAGCTTGGGGCTGCTTCGCTCGTCTTCGGGGATGGCTAGCCAAAATAGGCTAGCTCGCTAGCTAGACTGATGCCCCATGTTAACTGCAGAAACAACCGGCGCATCCCCTCGCAGGAAAGCTTCACCTGTAGTCAGTGCAATAAAGTGGCAGTGTTTAATCCTTCTTTTCTGCCGTCGGAGTATCTTATTCGACTCAGCTGTGTGTTGTTGCTAAGGGCGTCTTCACTAAGCCTGGAGTCAGCAGGCACACAGAGTAGGGAGGGCGCAGGGCGGCGCTTAGCGTCGAGACAACAAGCAGAAGGGCGCCCCGCAGCGGCCAACAGGAGCACTGCAGAGGAGCTAATATGGATGTACTCAAGGTGCAATAATACACCGTACCGACTGTACTATAAAGCAAGAATTATGTATAAATATATATATATATATATATATTATGTATATATATATATATACACACACTCAGTTGGCATTTTGTTAGGTGCATACAAGTGCATACAACAAAAAACACTAATGCAGTCTAATGCAACAGCCAACCTTATAATGTTCAGTTTTATATGGTTAATACGTTTACTTATCAGTTGTAAGCAATTAATGAGACCTGACTAATGAATCAAGTTGTTAATATTTTTATAAACTGGACAAAGAGTCAATTAATCAAGAAAATAATCTGCAGATTAACTGATGATGAAAACATCAGCCCTAGGGCTGGGAAGACCTCTCCTCAGGCCCTCAAAGTGCTGTTGGTCATTTGCTTTGCATACCCTGTGAGGAAAGCTGAACCGTAGATTGAAACTGGAGAGGATATGCCGATCTATACAGGTCTAGATATAGTTAGGGGCAGGGCAGAGGACAGACGAAGTGAGACCAGGCAGGCATGAGCAGGGGAACAGGCTAAATTCAGACAGTGATACATGCTGGGCAGAGGGTGATGCTAATCTTAGCTCTTTCTCAGAGGTGAGAAGAGGGGCCTGTCTATATTTGCTGCCATAAATAAGCATACTGACACAGTTTTAGGTGGTCCTCTGGGCAGCAGCCAGCCCTTAAGGCCAGCTCGGCCATGCAGATTATTCTTAGATGGTGCTGCATAAAGAGAGTAGGGTGACAATGCCTAAAAATTGATCTGCTTATTGCATTTTCCTTTCAAAGTAGAGTTCAAGGTATAAGTGTGTGAATTCTAATCACAACCAGTAAATTTACAACCACAGCATGAAACAGGACCAGGTGCAAAGCTACCTATAGGTCCTTGTGGAGGTTGGGGGTTGTAGCTGTATTTGGTCTGAGAGTCTGTGACAGACACTGACACCTGTGGGTTTATTGGTCTAACACCTTATTTTGAATGCCCTTTGAAAACAGAATCAGACTAAAAAACAGTGATATCAGGATAAGAATTGCGAAACTGGGAGTGTCACAGCAAAACCTAAATGCCTTATCATGTGTAGTATATCAGAGCATATGAGAACAAAATCACAACCACCTCTATTTGAGTATTAACACGCATGTCTTACCATCTGCATGGTGACTATTGCACTTACAGTTCAGATGAAGTATTGCCACCTGCTGGTGAGTTGAAAGCAATACAAGTTGGTGTAGAAAAGGAGACGTGAGACTCGGCACTTCCTACTTAGGTCATGTTTGGACAACACCCAAACAGTGGTGCAGATCTGTCTCTCTTAAGCAAAGCAAACAAATAAATAAATCTGATTCAACCAGCACTAAAATCCTGATTTTACTGTCTTCAATATCATGATGACATGCACATTGTAACTGTAATAAAAGCTAATGATATTATTTAATTCTCATTTATTCATTTTTAAAGACAACACACCATGTACCTGAACACATGAGAAAATAAAGATGTTTTCAATAAAGGGACGACCTTTTTATTTCATTTTGAAGTTCTGTACAGTTCTACTGGTATATTTATACACACCTCTTCAAATAAAACAAAATAAATTGCAAAAAAAGCATTAAGTCTCAACATCCTTCACATAATATCATGTGGATGGTGTGAACCATGAAATAAATAACACGCACACACGCACGCACGCACGCATACACACTCACGCACAGAGGGTTTGCTGGAGCAGAGACATATGAATGATAAGAATAGGGGACAGAAGAAAAGATACAACACCACCCAAGAAACGCATGCAAAAACACCCATACGTACACTCAGGCACCTGTGTGTTGAAACACACCTTACATAGATACACGGGGGCACGCGAAACAAAAGGCACTGCCAGCAGGAACAGCTTGGGCTTTGGGTGGTGATGTTAGAAAATGAACAGGTTTGGGTTTACTGAGAAGCATGTGCTTATGGACAATAGGCCTCATTTATCAGTATGTACATGGAATAAATGAAGAAATGTAAGGATGTGTGAAAGTTTTTTTTAAATGATTAAATGCATTCGTTTTATGATATATGCATGCCAAATACTGTTTCCAACACAACCTCATTTGCAGTTGTAATGTGTTATATTAAATGTGCACTCAGTGTATTTGATACTTGATAAGTGAGGCCCAATCAGGGAGCACTGATTACACACAGACTCTTACTATAAAACACTATTCACATTTTCCTCACTGCCCTAGAAGAGCGTGTGCACAGACACACACACACAGACACACACACACACACACACACACACACACACACACACACACACACACACACACACACACACACACACACACACACACCAACCAGTAGGAATGATACCAAAAGAATATTAATATTTGTAATAACAACAAAGTTAAACCTTGTCACTCTTTTTCCAGTGTCTACATAATACATATGCATTGCAAACACATCATTGGTACATCATAGCGATTATCATGAATTTTATATATTTTCTGTTTCTTCTTTTTTTGGGTGGAAGGTGGGGAGATAAAAGAAAACAAAAACAGAAATGCATGCCCAGCCCCAGAGTTGTGGGCCATTCAGTGTGACCTGCATCAATATGTGCAAAACAGAAGCTGGTTTAATTTTTACATACACCACCTTCAATTTAAACTTCCAAATGTCTCTTTTCCCTTTAAAATAGTCTAAAAACAGATCTGTCCCTCTTAAAGCTTTGGTGTAAAAAACAAAACAAAAAGAAAGCCCTCTCACATTCAAATGCAACCCATATACCATAGCAGTGTGTGTAAAGTGAAAAAAATCTGTAAAAGGTATGTGAATTGCTTCCCTCAATAGGCTTTATTTGCATGTAGAGTTCATGCACAGTTGGTTAGATTGCGATTTAAGGTGGGAAAATGGGAATGAAATCACAGTTATCATCTGAGAAGAGGTTAGGATTGTGTGTTTGTTTGGAGGAGCAAGGAGAGAGGTGGTAACTGGGTCGGATTGAAGCTCTCTCTGTCGAGTGAGTTGCCTGACAGCATCATCACACAAGTCTATCATTTGGCATTTAAATGGGCAAATAAGAACAGATAAAAGTGTTCTAAAATAGGGTGGGAAAGGTGGAAGAGGGTTTTCTTTCCTCCTTTAAGTTCTTTCTTTGCTCATCACATGCTCCCTGAGAAAAATCAGAGAATGGATCTCACTTTCTTGCTTTCTTGTCCTTCCACTCCTTCTTGTTCTAAGCACTTAAAACAAACCCAGCCTTCTGCTTCCTGCCCTTGCTTCAGGAGATGCACCGATAGCCAGTGCTTCGGCCCTGTCCCTAGACCCCTCTCTCACTAATTCACACGCGTTATATTCCAGCAACAAAAATAAAACATCTGGTGATAACCCTATACATCAAGTCCAAGGGGGAAAAAAAAGAAAAAGAAACACACAGTATGATTGTCCTTCCATCCCAAAGAGATGCAGAAAAAAGTAATCATGCCTTCTGTTTCTATTCTAACTCTATGTGCAGGGGGATGAGCTGAAAGAGACTCATGCATAAGTAACACTTGCAGTAGCAGCAGCAGCAGTAGCAGAAGAAGACGGAATCTTTAAAAACACCATTGATTCACATCAGTCCCAAATGAGATCTCAAGTTGGAGTTTCAGATCTTTCTGTGTGTGTCCTTGGCAATGAAAACGCTACTTGTCCAATCAGCCAGCGGACCACACACCCTGTAGCCTTTCACGCCGCTTTCAACCCCTGATTCTCTCCTCAGGGAGTGGACGTATGGATGGTGGGGTGGGGTTGGGGTGGGAGTGGGGTCTTGTTTGTGTCCTGAGAAAGGGTATGCATCTGTGTGTGGATGTACAGTGTGTTTGTGTGTATATGTGGAGGGTGGAGACAAGTTCAGCTCCGGCTCCAGTCTCTGAATAGATCATGGGGTCTGGAGGGGTCAGTGTTCGGAGGGTCAGTCTCTCCCTGGGTTGAGGTCATAAGGTAACAGGTGAGGGGTCAGGGGTCATGTTGTTGTAGGGCCTGCTGTAGTTTCTGTCGGTACATAGCATATTTTTGCTCCACTGCCCGCACGCGCTCCGCCTCCTCTTTCTCCAGGATTACCAGGAAGTTTTGTAGCTCAGGGACAGAGAATGCATGCCACTGTTACAGGAAGAGAGAAAACGAGAGGAACAGATTAATAGGCTATTGCAGATTATTAATTTATAAATGTTTCCCAAAACAGTCAATTGCCTTCTACAGATACACAGTATCTTCCTGCAAATCATAAGTGTGTGTATATGTGTGTTTGCGTATGTTTCTCACCTCCACCTCTCCAGTCTCGTTTTCCTTGAGGACAAAGCTGAGTTGTTGTGGGTCAGGCCCGGCAATTAACCTCAGAAGAAGAGGACGCTCAGGCAGAGGAAGCTTCTGGAACAGATCTGCACACGAAAAGAAAAACAGATTATTCAATGCTGTCTACTTGAATTCTGAAGATGAGCTGGTGACCGGGTGTCATTTCCTCACCCTGCCCGTCGCGGTGTGTCTGCCTGTACAACGCAAACTTGCGGGGATTGTCCAACACCATGAACTTCGTCAGCAAGCCCTGGATGACCTCTCTGGTGGTGGTCAGAGAGCTGATGTGGAGTTGCTTCACACATTCGCGTGGTATGTAGAAGGATGTTCTATTTTCACTCTGCTCGCAGTCCGTCCCCTCCTGATCCTCTGACGGTGCTCGATTGTGACCGCCCTCTGAGCCCGACAAATCCACAGCGGGGACTGTGACTGGCCGACTGAGCCTCAGGTGGACCTTAATGAAACCTGTGTAGGATCCGTCCGAAGCCTGGAAAAGAGAGAGATATAAGGACACAGTAAGAGAGTGGAGGCACATTTTAGTGTTTGTGTGCACTATAGCAGGGATGGAGAGAAGTATTGTATGTGGTTCTCTAAAGAAATCATTTGTATTTTAGGAAATAAACTTATTCACTTTCTAATGCTATCGATCTTCTCATCTACAGTAAGAAGTAATGAAAAAGTATATTTCCTAGAATATTTCTATTTCTTTAAAGTCACAACAACATGGAAACTGTTTTTGTTTTTTAATTTCTTTCTCCTTTGCCAGTGCCCAAGTTATTACATATATAATAATTACAACATATATCTATAATTAGCAAAACATATATATATAATTAGCAACAAAAAACAACAAATATAAAAATCTATTTTCCTCTCTATTGTAGAACAGTTACTTTATGCCATGAAATCATGCATCTTTAATGGTTATTTCACAGTTAAATCACTTGAATTCACCTTACGCCATGTTATTCTTTTCTCTTTCAAATCAATATCCTACTTTTGTTTACTTTTGGTCTAACTTTTGTATGATTGCTTTGTCCAAGCTGAACTTCCTGTTCTTATTGTCTAAAGTAAGAAAGCAAGGAAGTTCTAAAAGTCCACTTTCATTGTTGGTCTGACATTATACAGTACGTTCACCAGCTCCAAAAAGTTCTCAAAACTCACCAGTTTCATGCCATTTTCAGTGACTTGAGCGTTATACGCTTTTATCCTGGTCCGCACCTCTTCCTCTGACAGGTCTTTTGTCCCTCTCGCCTCCTCCTCTTTCGTCTCATTCTGCTGTAGCGTGAAAGAAAGAGAAAATGTCAGCCTTGCAATATCAGAGTACTAGTTTGTTTTATTTTTACCAGCAGATGGTGCTAAGTCCTGTAAAAAACAAATGGTTTATCTTGCTTTGCTCAAGTTTATGAATAGATATCTGAACACACCAGAGTCAAGTCAACTGATTCCACCCTGCACCAATTTAAAAAAAGAAAAGAAAAGTGGAGTGACTGATTTGCAGGCACGTTGGTCATCACATTTAGTTGAAAAAGACTAAACAGCATTCAGGATTCCTGCTTTGTGTGGCCTCTCTCAACAACAATATCTCTTAACAACCACTAAAGATGACACTTCCCTTTCCCATCCTCCATATTTGCCACTCTCAGAAAGAAAAGCTACTGCCCTGATTTTAGCCAATGAGGATTCTCATTGACACTTCACTCGCTCTTCCTCCTTAATTCTGCAGCTCTACATGGGGACAGGAAATGTTGTGAATGGAGCAAATCACACATTCAGCATCACAGTCTCTCTCTCTATCACAGTTACTCATTTCCCTCTGTGACTAGGAGAGAGAGAGAGAGAGAGAGAGAGAGAGGGAAGAAGCAATGAAAGGAGGAAGGGAGGGAAGAAGTGAGGAGAGGGTGTCATGGAGGGGGAGGCAGTGAAAGAAGCGAGTAAGGGGTAAGGACTGATGAAAGAGTGGCTGCTGAGCCAGCCTTAGCAACACAGAGTTTGACTAGGTTATTTATAGTACAGTGGGATGCATCCTCTCTATCTCACAATAGCTTTTTTTCCCATTCTCCTATTTGTGTGCATTTTCTGGGGCAGAGACAGAGAGAGAGAGAGAGAGATAGGGTGTGTGTGTTTGAGAGAGAGAGAGCGAATGCAGGGCAGGAATGGTTTTCTGTAGGGGAGTCCTCAGGTTGTGTGATGAAGTCACTGTTTCATTCAATACAGATGCAGTGTACGCACACTGCAAGTGCATGCGTTTCTCTGTGTGCTCACGTGTATAGATTGAGGCACATTGTGGAAATAAACTACACACACAGACATACACACACAGAGCACGAGTGTAGCTTCGCTCATCCTGGCGGACAGTCAGCAAAAAGAGGAGATAACATTATAACATTTGAAATTCAAGGCTGGCGTTCGGAAATATGTGTCCGTTTGTGAAGAGAAACAATCTGGAACATGAGGATTTTGCTGATCACATATCTCATTCATGTTGTTGCAGCCTTTATCTCTCTTCAACACTTATCATCAGCCACTCCTCTGTGCAATGTAGTCCTGCTATCATAGTAAATACTCACACTGCAGTGAAACAGCAGTGAGAGAAGCTGATGCTATTATGGTTACTGCATGCCACAAATAATTGCCTTCTAATTAGGACAAAAACCAGATTTAAATATAGGAGTTATCAGGCCTGGTTCTGTATCTGTGCACGCAAGATCTAATCACATTCATATATGAATAAAATGAAAAGCCACACATTTAATGAAACTCTGTTGGATAAACAAGTGTGAATGGTGGAATTTAGGGTTAAGAAAAGAATCTGAGGGACATGGAGGAGTTGTGGAGGAGACTTGTATCTGAAATTCCTCCCAGTCTAAATCAACAAAGTGGAAAGAACCTTGCAGGAATTCCTGCGTTTGTATGCAAGTTTCTAAATGTATCAGAGGCAGTGCCCTGCCCTCCCTCTCTGCATACCAGTGAGAGTGGTCAGAGGACAATAGAGAGGGACAATAGTGCAGTTTCCGCCCCTGAGAGTTCCACAAAGTCCTGGGACAGTGCCCTGAATGGACCTGGTCATGATGAGGGGGCCAATGACCGGCAAGACACAGAAACAGAGAGATGTGAAGAGGCTCGAAATGTACTGCACTGTGGTTACAAGAAAACTACTAGGACTATGGGGGGACTTCCTATGTTTTCTTGTCACTCATTAGTATAAATTAAGTGATACAGTAGCTATGAATATGCAAAGTAATACCACTGACCTTATGGTTTGCTAGCACATTCATAGATATACTAACACTATATCATTGATTCAGTGTGAGTCATGCAGCCAGGTTAATCTTCTGAAATATTCTTGGTACTTTACAGTCTTTGAGACTACGTGTATAGTCTTCCATTTCCCACTGTGCTCACACCATACGTTTATTTTATGATAATTTGTCCAACATTTTCCAATCTCATACGCAAAACGGTCACATTTTGCTGAATGGCATTTTAACATTTTATCTATTCGCTATTCATTTTTAGTTCTCTTATGAGTTCTTGTTTTTGCACTTTTGAGCTCACACTTTATTCCTGTCTTTTGTGTTACTTTACTTCAAAATACACTGTGGCATTGAGCTCCACAGAAACAATGTAACTTAACTACAAATATGTAGTTTATACTGAATGAATATGACAATGAAAGGTCATTTTGATCCATTAAATTCTGGCTGTAACAATTGCCTGATAACAGCCTTGATAATAACAATAATGTTGCAGGTGAAATAGGCTGGACCAGACCATGCTTTCCAGTTTAATGGTGTCATTCAGGAAGATGCTAGGCATCTTAAATGTGTAAGATATCTAGGACTGTTACATAAGGGTCCCACACACACACACACGTATACATGCCATCTAGATCCACATAACCCTCAGGGTGACAATGGAAAAGTGTTGATGCTCTCACTCTGATGAGATCAGACAAGAGAGGTCATATGACTGCTTGAAATGTCACTGTAAAGTACTCAATGTTAAAACCTCGTGACAAACCTGTCTGTGCATGTGTGTGTTTCACCTGATCACCTTTTCCTTAACCTGAACCTGCTCTTGACTTTGTCAGTCAAACCTGTACGTGTGTGTGTGTGTGTGTGTGTGTGTGTGTGTGTGTGTGTGTGTGTGTGTGTGCCATTGACATCATGATCTTCAGCAAACACTAGACTCTTGGATCTATTACAACTGGCCTGTAAGTCAGAGGACATGATGAGCTCTGTCAGAATTAATCTAACAACAGTCAAATAATAAAAGCCAAAAAATGTGGACAGAATTCAACAATCACACATCAACATGCACACCACACACACACACACACACACTGCTAACAGCATGCGCTAGCATAATGCCTTTACTGGGTCAAGTGTTGAGAAGGAGAGGCACGATTGAGAACACACATGCTGATTCTATTTCACAGCTCAGAGACTGCTGCGTGCCAGCACTGCCAGCAGGACACACATACAAGTGTACACACACACACGGAAACACACATGCATACACAATAGTGAAAATATTCAAACAATTTGCCTATTTAAAATGAGCATAGTACACTGTATAATACAATATCACAAGTACAGGTCCTGCATTCAAAGTTTCACTTATGCACCTGTGAAACATAAGTCATTATCAAAAGTAAGTGTACTCTTAATAAAGAATGAAGCATCAATTATACAACTTATTTGCTATAGTGTTGCAATGCAGAGTTATGCATCATGTTTTAGAGTTTATAATATGTTTTGTACAAACAATCTATATCTGTGACATAACTAACTATTCCCAAAAAAAAGCAGTGGAGTAAATATATCATATTTGCACCTGAACTGTGGTGTAATGGAGGTGTAAAGTTGTACAAAATAGAAATACTCATAGTAAGTATCCCTACTTCAAAACGGCACAGTACATGATAAGTACTGTGCATAAGACAGCGATGTTCATTGCATCAAAAAGCAGACCAGAGAAAACTGCACAAACCCCTACGCTCTACAGTGGTACACCCACGTATGTGCGCACACACACACACACACACACACACACACACACACACACACACACACTACACACAACCACCACACACGACACACACACCAAACAAAACCACCACACAAGACACATTAAAGCTGGCTGGCTTATCTGGAGCAAAAGGCTCAGCTCTGGAAATAATTCATAAAGAAAAGAAGATCTGACCTCCCCTTCCACCATTTGATGAATGTAAATATCTCCCCATGTGTCTGTGTACATAAATGCATGGATGGAAAAAGACTTAACACATTGACACATATTGAATGCCTGTACAAAAAAAACCCACGATGTCTGTATTCACAGGATGCCACACAGATCTTTGCATATCTCATTTCCATATTCAAACACAGGAAAGTCCAGGGCTCTTTCTGGGAAAGAGCAGCACACCACAGGGCTACTTTGGGTGCCTACAATTACTATTGTCGATGTAGAGCGATTCTCTCTCATGTTCACCGGCTAATAGTCCAGCTTTATTATTTTTCACACCATATTTATCTGGCTGTGTGGTGCCAGAGAAATCTGTCTCCATCAGCTGGCAGCCTTTGCGCTGACAGCCCAGACAAGCTAACCCCAATACCCTTGTGTCTCAGCATGGCAGCAATCCTAACTCCATGCGCTGACAACACAGCTGGTCAATTATTCAGAGATTATACCTTCTCCAAGTCAGACACCAAAGGCACTGCCAGGATAAGGACAGTAAGAATATAATGGGGCAGAATATGTTTTGCATGAGTGAAAATGTCTGTGTAGAATTCCATGTCCAGGTTTATTGTGCAGCCAGAAACACAGTCTCACTCTTCTCTCCTCCTTTTGCTTTAGAAAATCAATCAATCACCTAATGTCCATCAAGACCCAACAACAAACAAGCAGCACCTGACACCCTGCAGAGCCAGCAGCACTGTGTATACTGTAGTTAGAGGCCTGTATATGACACATTTCTGTGTGAAGTAATTGAATGTACAGTAGACCAAAACAAATTCTCAGAAGTGCTCAGAGGGAGCCAACAAAACCATGAGTTGCTATGGTAACTAGGAAAATGGTTTTGCTACAGTGAGTAAGTAGTTGCCCTGCACACACACACACACACACTCTCTCTCTCTCTCTCGTTCAAGTGCAAAAGTACTAGCTTTGTTTCTACGGAAACCTCTCCCACGCAGCGTAGAGAAGAAGCCTCTATGGAATCTGTAAGCTAACATCGTTAGCTCAGTATTTCTGCTAAAACACATCACACACATGAGCTCTATCAACTGCTGAAGGATGAAACCACCCTGCAGTACGTCTTCAGTCTCCAAACAGTGTTTTCGGACTGTGATGCTAAATCTATGCTAGCCATTCACATGATAAACGAGCTGCCAAAAGGCATCAAGGCTGATGAACAAGGCTGATAGGACAACAGATCAATGTTGCACAACACATGGCTGACAGTAACCCCTTCCTACACTCTGACATACATTCACACACATACACCTAGAGGCCTACTTAAGCATGCACAAACACTACCACTTCCTCTCCACACTTCTGCTTTTTTGGGTGCATGTTTTTGATATAAATGGCAGTTTGATTCCCAGCCCAACTGAAACATCAACCATCTGACCCATCTGAGCTTGTCTAACTCTCACAATCTCATCTATCAGAGTGTTAATCTGATTCTGTACCTTCGGCGCAGGCCTGGGCTTGAAGAAGAACGAGGTCTTGGCTGTGAAGAAACTGAAGTCTTCGCACTCATCGTCCAGGCTGCAGTACCCGCTGCTCATACTGTTACTGCTGGTCATGGGGGAGGTCAGCACTGTATTGACAGTCATGGAGAGGTCCAGAGATGGGCACCGACACAAGAACAGCACCACAGCAGCACGTTGGCGGCTTGAGGAAGTGCTGGTTTATCTCGAAAGGCAGGGCTGATGTGACACTCAGCCACAATCAGAGTCTACAAGCATCTAACTGTCCTTTACTCATCCAGGAAACGTCAGTGCTCCTCTGCTGATGCATCCAGGGAGCTGAGGTCCCACCTGTGAGGGTGAGACAGGTGAACTCGGCTCAGATTCGGCGCTTTGCCTGCCACCGGAGAGGGGACCAGGAAATTCGAGAGCAAGCACAGACGTGTCACTTCCTCCTGACGTGTGTCTGTGCGTGTGTGTGGGCTCTGACACCAGTGTCACAAACACGTACAGACCATACAGTATATGCACCTAGTCATTTGCAGCTAAACATACACATATGTACACACTCTTACACAACAACTAACTCTGTCACACAAACACACACACACATAGGCACACACTGGTGTCACGGAGTCGGTTTACAGGTTGGTTTCAAGTTAACCCCGCTCACCTGAGAGCACCTGTTATACCCGCAAACTAACACTCGTAAAAGCATGCGCGCAATACCACATCCTGCTTTGATCTTGCTCTGTGTCTCGGTGAGGACCCACTACAGTGCTGTAGGTTCAGTTCAAGTCCTGGTTGCAGCAGCAGTTCAATTATCCTGTCGTTCATGTGTGTGAGCATCCATCCCTCTCTTGAGTCCAGAGTCAACAGTAGCAGAACATCTCTTGGCTGCAGCTACAAGACGTTCACAGACCATGCACCACCTCCTCTCTCCTCTTCTCTCCGTTGCTTTGGCAATACTACCAGAGAGACAGATGCCTCCCACTCAGCCTCTCTCGATTTCTTACTCCCTCCTTCTCCTCTCTCTCTCTCTCTCTCTCTCTCTGTCTGTCTTTGTGCCTCGCTCACTCTCTTGCAGTCTTGCTCAACCATCTGTGGTTGAGTGTGTTATCAGCCTGCAAGCACCCTCCCCCTTCTCCCTCCACTCTCTCTTCCTGCGAACGACTGCACCCTGCAGAGCACGGCCACTTCCTCTTACACAGAGAGAGAGAGAGAGAGAGAGAAAGAGACAGAGAGAGAGAGAGATAGGCATGGTTAAAAAGAAAGAGAAATGATGCTGAGTGAGAGATATGAAGCCTTGCAGCTCCTGTTTTACATACGTAAGAGCAGCGGTGACAGGAAGCAGCTCAGAGGCTGAAGAAGATGGCTGCTTTGCTACTGACATTATAATGAAGCATGCAAAGGACTAGAAACCACTACAACCACTGTAAACATGTAGCACTTTTATGTACGTTTATGTAGGAACACAAAATAAATAGTACTTGCTCATCAACACCCAAATCAATCGGGGACAGATAGGGTATAACAAAACTGAGAAGCAGCTGCACCACCAACGCTGAGTTGTTGGTGGAGGGGTGGGCTCACAGTGCTTAAGGTGAGATTAAGAAAATAATGAATGATTACCATCAGGATAGGGATTACTGTGACCTCTAACCCTCCACTGACCCTACATCTGCCCTCTGACTCTGGCAGTGACTCTCTTGTCAAAAAGCAGCTAATGCTGCTGCCACTGTTGAGATTGATCGTGCATGTGAGCGTCTGTCTGCACATGCTGTGTCTGTGTGTTGTAATATGATTTTGAAAATCTACTCAGGCATGATTATAGGAAAGCCTATATGCTGCTGGAGAGCTGCAGCAGACAGGGACAGTGTGTCACCTTCTCATCGGGTGTCTTTCTGTCAGGTTTGAGTCAGCCGAAGACTGATTACCTGCAGCTTTCCCCCTTGCTTCCATCAGTGTAATCACTATGGGAGAAGGCAGCGTGCAGGGGGGTGGGATGCTACACACAAACACACACACATGCATACTGAACAACACTCCTGCTGGTTTTTAGTCGATGAAGCCTGGACAGTCTACCACATGTGTATTGTGACTGCGGCAGTGTCTGTGTGTATTGGGAGGAGGGGGGGATCAATTTCTGCTGATGCACAGACAATAAGGACCTGTAAAGATAGAGGAGAAAGAACACACAACTACGCACACACACACACACACACACACACACACACACACACACACACATTCAGAGCTGCAACTATAAAACAGAGGGGAGGAAAGGGGGACTGCAGGAAATGAACTGTCATCTCTCCTCTTGTCTGCAGTACTGGAGAGTGTGGAGAGAGACAGGCCTTAGTCACAGAGAGTTCACATACCTTCAAGACAGACATCATCAATGCTCACTTAACTCAAAAAAACTGACTCATTATTTTGTTCCAGTAGATTTTGTATATTGAAAGAAATGGCAATGGTTTTTGAGCAGTCCCTGCCTGGCCACAAACAACCGAACACATGTTTGGTAAAAGACATTTGGTAAAATTTTATGCTATTTATCTTCCTCCTCCTCACTCGCTCCAGTTCTCACCATCTCCATCAGCGTGTTTCAGAGCAGCATGATTGTGTATATTTGTTCACGCTCTTTAGAAGCGGAGTAGTACCTGGCACACTACCAGGGGTCTAATTCTGTGTTATCTGCCCCCTGAGCATAGAGTAGCTGCCAACATTCTGCTGCAGGCCTGCAGGGTTATCCAGATTTCTCTCGTGCATGACATGTGAATCTGTATATATATATTTGTGTGTGTGTGTGTGTGTGTGTGTGTGTGTGTGTGGACCACATTACGTGGGTGACTGAGGCTGGGATGCCAAGAGCAGTGTGCAGGCTTACACTCTCTCTGATTCCTGTACACACACAAAGAGTGGGTGCACATAATTACTGTATCACTGGATATCCTGTGGCTCGTACTGTACGCAAGTATGAAAACTCAAATGATAGATTTTGAGTTTAACTTGGTTCCAAACATTACAATAATGGATAACTAAATATATTCCACCAGGATACAAAAACATCTGAGAACAGCTAATAGCTAATACAGCTATGCCATAATAAAGACACCAATTGTACAGCGGGGAGATGACAGAGAGACTTCAAACAGAAAGATGAGAGCCAGAGAGCAGGCAGGAGAGAGGGAGGGACATGAGATGCTGACGTGACGTAGCAGACTCTGTCCTGAGAACATTCTGTGACCACAAAAAGCAAATGAGCGCATGTATAAATTTATAAGCAGACAGCTGAGGAGTTGGGGCAGCTTGTTGTGAAAGAGGAGGATGGTTATGTAAAAGTGTAGGCTTGAGGAGATGCTGCAGAATGAACCCTGACATTACCCAATCCTGACTCATGCGCACTTCTGCATGGGTTTGCAAGTGCTTGCATTTCCTGAGCAGCCGAAAAATGCCAGACATACCCTAAAGTCCCCCCACCCACCCCCGCCCCCACCCACTCCACCCACACACACACACACACACACACACACACACTTTTACTAATGTAATATTCCTTGTCTTTGAAATGCTCACCTTGTGCTGAGGAGCTGTGGGAGAGCAGTTGCTTCTGGGAGATGGAGTTTTTTCAGGCTGTCTGTCCTTCTGGTTACAGTCCACCTGGACCTGGCTCTGACACTCCAGGTGACAGGTGTAGCTGCAGTCTGATGAACACAAGAACACACACTGATCAGAGAGAAGAGCACACACAGTTTGACAGAACCAGTCACTGAAAAGCAGAGAATGAAAAGTCATGAAACCCTGCTCTAACATTGTGGCCTGCACTCCTCTGCTGTATTACCTCCCAGAGTGCAATGCCGATCAGTCACCTGCAAGTGTTTAAGTCAGAATTTTGATTTGAAACATCAAACATGAACAGTCATGCAAACGTTCCCTTTACACAGAAAACTAGTGCCATCTAGTGGCTAATGTCAGACTCACACCCTCAGACAGTATTCCTTAATGAAACATACCTGACAATACACGTGTGTGTGTGTGTGTGTGTGTGTGTGTGTGTGTGTGTGTGTGTGTGTGTGTGCTTAGAGTGATTTAGAAAATTATTTCATTTTTTGAAAAAGAAAAAAAATTCTACAGAAACCTGCACGCACGCGATACATCTATCCACATATTGTTATAATAAGGGGAAATAGCCCAACAATTCAAATACATCAATCAAGCAACTTAAACTACAAATTACACCTCTGAGATCAACGTCTCTTTTACCCATCAGATGGCAGGAAATACTCTGCTAAGTACATCTATCATAAAATAAATATGATATCCCCTTGTGCAAACACATTACACTGTTTATAATGGACATACTATACAAGGTGCAGCAAAGAACTTAATGGAAAGAAACACATCGTGTAAAACAAGACATAATGTATTGTAATAATGGATGTGCATTCTTAAACATTCAAGGCCAACAAACTGTAACAGTATAGCAGCCCTGGTGTGGTCAACTCCCACCATACTGCTCAGCCAAAAAACAGATTAGATGTAGGTACTTCCCCCAGAACTTCCCCAAATAGTCCACTGCTGTTCTTTAATTTTTAGTTGGTTCCACATATGACAGACTGGGCTTGTTTATACCTTGCAGACTTTATCGTGGTCAGAGGCTTTTCCATAGCCTCGCATCTCACTTCTCCTCAGTTGGTGAGGTAATCCATGCTAAAGGAAACTGGATGGGCAAAGGGAGGACTGTAGTTTTGGGAAATTCTGAGTCAGATCCTTTTTATGGTCGTCAAGCAGGAAGCGTCTTAAATAAAATGCTGTATTCTACATGCAATCGGCAAGATTGCATAAAAACATAAAACCGTTTAGACAAGATTTTGTTTAACTACTTACTAAATAAACGGATACATATAAATATTTGCTCATAAGAAACATATTGTTTTCTGGTGCACCTCTTTGTTGCTACGGTCAGAATAAGCTGAACTAAGCCCTGGCTGTTTGTCTGTCTGCTGATATTAATGGCTCTGTGTGTATCCTGCTAAGAGAAGGACACCACTGCATCTCTCACACTCAACATCAGCACCGTAACCACGGCAACAAGCTTCTTGATGACCACTGTGGAAAGAGCTGTGGTAGAATTTTCGTGTTATTAATCAGCGCTAAATCTCAGGCTGATCACCAAATACCTGGAATTAAAGGTGTCTTTAAAGCAGCTTGTTCAGAAATTAAGTGCTCTGTGTATTTTCCAAAAGGAGGAGAGACAGGAGACAGGATAGGGCTTACTGACAGAAGAGAAATGTCTGGCAGATAAAGGATATTTTGCACGTGACAGTTCAGAAGTCGCTGCATTAAGAGAGGGAGACAGGCGTAAGTGTGTGTGGGTGTGTGACAGAGACAGGTTGGCAGAGAGACAGGGTGAAAGGGAAGGGCCGCGAAGCCTCGCTGACAGCAGGGATGTGTCGAGGAAAGAGGAGAGTTCAGATAAAGGATACTCTGCTCATGACAGTTTAGAGGTCACTGCGAAAAGAGTGGAAGAAAGGAAACATACAGGGGAAGGGAAGAGAGAAACTCCTTTCCTGTCCTGCGTCACTTCATTCACTCCATCCAGGAGACTGTGCCTCTACCTCTTTACCCTTCAACACACGCGTCTTTAGTTTCTTACCAAGAGGTGGATGAGAAGATTGATGCCGCTCTCATGACTGTGCAGTAAATATGAAGAGCTAGCCTGGTGTTATCCAAAGAGAATGAAATCCATCTACATAACCCCTATATAACAACTAACAACAAATCACCATTAAGAGGTGCTGGTAGGTGTATTTTGTTACCTTTGGTCAGAGCCAGGCTAGCAGTTTCCAGTCTTTGTGCTAAGCTTCATATTTAGCGTATAGCCATGGGAGTGGTACGGCTCTTTTCAGCAAGATAATCGAACAAGCATATTTCCCATAATGTCAACTTTTCTTTAATGATGTTCTGCTGAGTTTTCTTGTGAACAAACAACAAAGTTATGTTTACGTTCAGTATTTCGCAGCAGAATGCACTGTGTGTATCCTGTGT